AGCTTAAAATATCTGTGGGAACTGAAAAACCGGTCAAAATAAGTGTTGGTGAAGATTTAAGTGATGGCATGTGGCACTACGTCATGGCTGGAGTAACACGTAAAGAACTTTGGTTGAAGTTGGATTCCAAACCAAAGCTCCGCCACGAAAACCCCTTGTTGGACCGAATCGGTAAATTCCAAAATCGTGTTCATATTGGCTATGGAACACATAGTGATGGATTTGTTGGCTGCATGCACCAAATAAGGTTGAACGATGAATTAGTAAATTTGAAAAGATTATCCGGCTCTCGTATAAACGGAGCGGTCATCGACCGATGTAAAATTACTAGTAAGTGTTTTCCAAATCCCTGCGAAAACGGTGGCCGCTGTTTACAGACATGGGAAACTTACACGTGTGACTGCGAAGGGACGTTTTACCGAGGAACCCAGTGTGAGGATCCTCTTTACCGTGCTACATGCCACGAATACAAAGTACTGGGTATGGTCCAGGATGCATATTGCAAAGTCGATCCTGATGGCACTGGACCGTTAGAGGCCTTTGAAGTGTTGTGCAACATGACAGCCTCTGACGCGGCCAAGACAGTAATACACCACGACAAGGAGGGCGAATATCCCGTCACACGGGAAGCCTCGCGCTTCGATAGCTATTACCTTCAACGCATCGTGTATGGAACTGACAAGGCCAGCATTCGTGCATTGATTCAGCGTAGCGGAAACTGTCGCCAGTACATCAGTTATCAGTGTTACAATTCAAAACTGTTGAATTCTCCCGTTGGTCCTGAGAATGTGCAGTGGTTATCAAGTACCGCAGTTCTACAAAATTACTGGGGAGGTGCGAGGCCTGGAAGTGGCAAGTGCGCATGCGGAGAGACGAAGAGCTGTGCAGATCCTTCAAAATATTGTAACTGTGATGCCGACAGCAAAGATCGGTGGAGGGAAGACTCTGGTGAGTAAAAATCAGTGGCATGGCTATGGGCTTCGTTGGATGCATTTAGGCCCAATTACTTAACAATATGTATTAACGCTTCGTTAGCATCATTCCTAATACATGAAAAGAAGAAAACCCTCCAGACAATTTTGTATCACACTGATTTTGATATCTTAAGATGCATTCAATTTATTTCGGCCAAAGGTTAACTGGTGAGACTGTCAGCTAATTTGAAAGAGTAAATCACTCGTCTTGTGAAAATTTAAAACCAAGTTCATGTTTACATTTACTAAAAACTAACTCATGTCCCTGGCGATCTTTGCTTTACAGGTTATTTACACGACAAATCATCATTACCAGTGAAAATGTTGCAGTTCAATTCGGATGCCAAGGACTCTTTCTTCACTCTTGGTCCATTAGAATGTTTTGGAACCGGGGGTCGTGCTCCCGAAGAAGTGAGCAATGCGAACTTTATTTCGTCCGCCTGCAGATTGGTTAACCCGCCCCCCACAGTGCGTATTGAAACTGAGCCAGTGCAAAGAACCACAACCCCATCCACTATTCCCGAGCTGCAGGCGGAAAAGACAAGCAGCACTACCACTAAAAGTCCAGGTAACAATAGAAATTCGTTGTCTTCCCTTAAACATCACGTTACCATGACGACCACTATCGCAACGAATAAAAACTCAACCCTGGTGACGTCAGTGTTTACTCACGAACCCAAGAGCGCTGGTGTGACAGTACATTCTTCCATTACCACAGGTAAATCTGGCGTGACAGTGCACACAAGCATCACCACCAAAGGAAAGACTGTCACACTGCCTCCTGTCACGCCGTTGGAGCCGAACAGAAGCCGCAACGTGACCGTTATAACAAGAAGTAGCATTGACTACATCACGCGGGTTGAAGGAGGAGTGGTTTACGATGCAAGGTTTATAATCTTGGTAGCTTCGTCCGTACTGGCCTTCATTCTTCTCATTTGTGTTCTCATTTTCGTTTTCCTGAAGCGGTCTGGTCGCAGGTACGTGTGCTGCATTTCCTGTAAGAGCTGCAGGAGGAACAAGAATATCCCGGATATTGAGGTGTATCGCCATTCAGTTCGCACGGATTCTCCGGATGTGGTCCAGCTGGATGAGATGGGGCATGGCACGATGGAGGTTGGGGCCTACAATATGAGTAACGGCGCCACAGTTTACCACTCGGTGCATCGAGATTCGCACGTCAGAAAATACGTGTCCTTTTCAGCTTCCACCTCCAAGCTCTGAATTCAGACCGGATATCAAGGTATTTATTTTTATCAGAGACGAAATTCACTTCAAATGCTCTAATTTCAATGAATCATTTTACTTTAATTTTCTTAATCTTAGGCAGTTACCTGCTGAAAGCATAAGATACCAAAGCATGGCACTAACTCTGAAGAATTTCCCGGCCCACTTCTTTGACTTAAGCCTTCATTAGTTACATATCTTTTACTATTCGAGTTCAAGGTCTGTACTGTAAGATGCCGATCGACTTTTTACCGCACAGATTTATGGCCCATGCGCGAGGTGTGTGAGCCATAAATCGAGCGGAAAAAACGAAGATATACATTTTATCTTTGAAGTTCAAGTAGAGGAGAAAGATTTCAATTTAAACAAACTTTTCCTGGTTTTTTTGTTCTTTTTGATTATCATCGTTGCTATCTTCACAGGAATATGTTAGATTGACTCTGTCAATGAAGCTTGACTCATGCTGTGACAGAAGAATTTTTGTTTTAATTAAGCACAAGTTATTTGAGGTCTACAAGGAAGATATTGTCTGTGCTGACTCAGGATTGGGTGATAAGGAACTTCTGGCAATGGAAAACGAACCAATTAGAACAAAGGGGCGAAGATATTTGGAATATACACGAATATTAGCACGCATTGCGTGTGTACATCTAACAGATGTGGAATAGAAACTCGATAAAGGAACCCCTGGAATCCCGAACTTGATTTTCCAGTTTGTTGTGTCAGCTTTTCGCTGAGGTAGTGTGCTGTCTGGAAAATGTCGAAAGTTATGAGAATTGTTCCAAATGATCAAAATTCATACCCATAATATCAAGCCTGCACCTATCACAACCTAATTTTTTTCTTTTAAATTTTTGCTTTAGCTGAAAAAATTAATGAGATTTTCTGTAAGTTGATCAAAAAATATCCGACTTGTAGGATAAAATGAAAAGGCTTGATTAGAACTAGTGCTTTGAGTTGAAATTATCATAACGAATATTGCTGTAAGTTAAATAATTACGATATAAAAACGATTACCCTTGGCTTAAACCGATTAGAACACGTAGCAAATGAAGTAGTTACTAAGGATATGCTTGAACTGGTAGATAATGGTGTCAGTACTCATAATAGCTAGATCTCACAGAAGGACTGTTCATGGTCAAGGTAGAGAGAGGGAGTGAGTAATCAACATATTCTTTCTCGAAGAAGTTAATTTAAGTGAAATTATCATTGTCACCTTTCCAACAAGTTCAATAGGACAATTTACATGAGGGAAACAGCGACGCATTTAAGGTAACGCTTACCATAGCTTTACCATATAGCTGTTGTCAATCACTTTTTGTGTCTGTTTTACACGTGCAAAGCAGTGTTCCGTTTCATTTTTAGTATTAAATACACGATCATTATTTGGGTGGGTTCTGTTTTAGAATAGTTATGAGACCAACACCGGATAAATTTGAAAGGACAAAGGTTTCAGCAAAACTGTCATACTGATCAATTTTTGCTACAGAGTTACTACAAAGATGGTTTATGAGATCCATGAGAAAAGTTGATTGTGAAATGAAAGCAAAGATTTCTGGCGTACCTGGATAACGCGTTATCAATCACCGTTAAGATGGACATAACCATAATTTCTCAAAAATGAATTAGGGTGAGCCCATTGATTCGCAAAAGACCAGATCGGTGGCGAAAAATTTGAAGAAGGTATGACTCATAACAAAAAAAAAAAGTTATGAGTGTCCCCGTGATTTTTAGCACTTTCGTGTAGATACGACTTAATTTATGCTATGTCAAATCAACTCAATTGAATTGGAACGGACAAGCAGTATTCCACCTTGCTCCAAATGACATATAATTTTTTTTTGTGCGTCTCAGCCTGCTTTTGAAAAACTATTATTAATTCAACTTCACCTTTTTTACCCGGATTAGAAACAGGTTTGGCGAGTTCAATCCTGGAATATCTGTATTGTACGACGTGACAACGTAATAAAGGGAAGTTATCGAGTAAACTGTTTTCTTTTTTATTTTTAATTGTGATGACATAAAGTTAAATGTTAAGCGCTAAGAGTCGATTATTCGAAAAGCGTTAAGCGCTAATTCAGGGCCAAAAATTAAACTTGCTTTTGATTTTTTTGCCAAATCGTCATATCATATTATCTTACTGTAGGGCAAAATTTAAGGCCAGAAAAATATAAGATACGAAATCGACTATTAAAGTTACAAATGAAATCAAAATTTTCACAAAGTGTTAGGCTCAATCGTGTTTTCTGATCCTGTTCAGCAGCGCCCTAACCCCTGCTCCTTACAATCACACATCTTGTCGTTGTCTGATAAAACTCGACGTTGACTTCTTTACCAGAAGGGGAAAGGGCGGCTAAACGGCTAGATTATTTGATGTGCAGACATATGGATCGAAGATTATTGTGCTGTGTTCCTAAGCGAGACACTGTTTTCCAAGTACCTCTTCCCAGTTCCCACTGATACCTCACAAACTACGATGGAAATGCAGTGTCCGCATGTCATGGATCACTAAACATCCCATTTAGGGGGGGAGGGAGGGGAAGGGGGGGAGGGGAAGGGGGGGAGGGGAAGAAAAATTCCAGGTAACTCCATTTGATGGAAAACAGAATAAGCTCAGATTAGATGGACCATTGGGAGTTGAGAAAATGATTATTTCCTCAGGTTTTAACCAAAAAGACATTTAATCCTTTCCATTTGCTCAAGTTTGTCAAAACGTGTCGTCTCGCTTTTCGCCGATAAAAGTTTAAGGCCTTCCCGCGATTGTAACCGGAAGCATTACCAGAGAAGAAAACTACACCACTGTTTTCTATTCTGATAGATAATGCAGTATAGCGCAATTTAATAGCTCAGCTCTGATGAAACATTACATTGTGTAAAATTGTTTTAATTGACTTTACATCCATGAATACTAATAAATTGAACTTAATGATCTCCTTTTTCAAAATTACGTGTATAATACACCATCGTAAAGATATTGTATTAATAAAATTTTCTTATTTTTTTTAGTGTGACAAACGTTCCGACCGTACTGCAAGCAATTTAGACACTTACCAAATTCTTCCTTATATCTGAAATGTACACGTTAGATATTGATCTCACTTGCGCAAGCGCAGTTTTAGCATGTCGTTCTGTCTTTGAACTTTTACTACTCCTCAACATCACGGGCCCTCAACTCATTTATTTCATTTTCAGTCTATAAACGTCATATCACACCCAATATGACTTGAGCCCAGCTGCTCCATTGCCTTCCACATACCTGCCATTGCCACTGCACTGTGTTAGCTGCTTTCCTCGGATGGACGACCTCTTGGCCACAATAGGAAGTAATCTTGCCGTATATCCAGACGATCCAGTCGGGGGGACAATGTATTCACCGCGCTTACTATGAGTTCGAATACACATGATAACACGTGGAAGGGCGAATTTCATTGAGAGTAGAACTATAACAACCAGAGCAGCAGAAATCATAACAACTGCAATGGTTGAAATATCTCCTTCATCCCAAGGCTCCTCCTGTCTAATCATTTCTGCCGTCACAGTAGGCGATGTAAAGTTTACCAATAGTGAAGAAGACAAAGACGAATTTAAGCACCTTTCTTTATCCTCGCTGGGGCACATAGTCGTTCCTGTCGGCGTTGTAAGAGTTGTAATAGGTGTCCGAGTGGACGGAGTGGTGGACTCCTTACTCGGGCAAGCTAAAGCTATAATCTCATCGTTTGTGCGGTAACCTGGCTTTGGATTCCTTTGAGTTTTTTGAGGAAATTTTTCTCTATGGGAATTGCCCCAACATTCCAGTGGGCCGAGCGTAAAATCAGATCTCTCACTTTTCTTATGGAATTGCAATCTTTTAACAGGAAGAGAAGATTTATCTGTCAAATACCCTTCATCAACTCTCCACCGGTTATCTCTGATGTCACAGTTGCACAACTTTCCCGGGCCGTCACAAGAAGAAGGCTCTTTGCTTCCGCAGGCACACTTGTCACTTCCGGGCTCAGCTCCTCCCCAGTATTTCTGTTGCAAGTTGTCACGTGTATACCAAAACGCGTGCGAGGGTCCGCGAGGCGTGTTAAGAAGTTTGGAAGCGAAGCAATGAAACCGGATGTATTGGCGGCACTCCTTGCTTCTTTCTATCAGCTGAGTGATTTGCTCCTTTTCAATTGAGTTAGAATACGTAACTTCATGTTGATAAAACGTTTTTACGACCGGAGCATCGCCAACACGTATTTTGTTCATTTTATTGTGAGTTATGACGGTGTAAGTCCGTTTATGTTCATTTGTTATATTACAAAATGCTGTGTAAGGTTTTCCATATCCTAGTGAATCTAGCAGACATGCCATGCTTTTCTTTAATCCAAGGGACCTGTAATATTCACAAGTTGGCCTGTACTTGGATGTTTCACATTTGTCTCCCTCGAACTCAGTATATGTGCAGTCGCAATAGAAACGTTCCCAATCCTGAGAACATTTACCATTATTTCTGCATGGATTCGGCTGACAGTGATTCTGTAAGCGGCAAGAATATTTCAGGTCAGCTTTGGTGTGTTTACTCATTTTAAGATTCTTTAAAAATATCTTTTGACTGTCAATTTTTAAATTTAATATGCAACCAACGAAACCGGAATAGAGTCTTCTTTCTGCGTCATAGCCCCCAAGAAAAATCTTTAAACGAGACTTGTTTGAGAATTCCTGCATTAAAAGTGAATGATTAAATTGTTTTGTTCTCGGTTTACCATCCACATGAAGACTCACGTCTCTTCCTCGGATACTTGCGTTCACACTATGCCATTCTCCATCGTCAAGATTAGAACCCATAGCCAACTCAGTCTTAGATCCATTCGGAGCAATGACGTCATAACGCAAAGAGCCACTTGACAGACGGATGTATAACTTGACTTTGATGGCGCTACGCGATAGAAGAAGACCATCACCCACGAGCGTGCGGAACCGAAAACTGGCAGAAAATGTGTCGTTATCTATCGGTAATTTTTTGACAGTCACTTTGAAACCCTCGTTAGGGTTATTCATTGTTACAACACGATAGTCGAGTTCCTTGCATTTAAACGGCGCTTGTCCAAATAGATAATATCCAGAGTTAGAACCGCGTTCAACCTCTCTGATGACGTTTTTATCACGGAATGTCAAGTCTTCTATACAACCATTAAAATTGATTTTTGGACATTTCAAGTAGACATAAGACTTGTATTCAGTGGGTTTCATTCCACCGACGTAAACCTTCTTTAAATCAAGATCTTCATATTCTTGTCGCGTAATTCCAGGAATTGTTAGTTCAGAATCTACAGTTACCTCCGCCTTCCGGCCCTTTTGCAGCACAGTCACATTGTGCCATTTGCCATCATTCAATTTCATTTTTGAATGAACAATGTCTACCAGTCCCGAATCATGCTTGCCTCCAAGATAAGCAAGGTAACTACAAGGAGGAAGATGAAATATCAGTAGATTTCGCTGACTGAATAATAGAGTGACTCTCGCATAAAACTGCGCAAATGAGTCAGCTTGGGCAAACATAATTCCATCATTTTACTACCACCCATCGAATACATATGGCCTTTTTTATTTAACAAATAGAGAAGCCTTGACTGTGTTCTGTTCTGTTATAAAGCGCGTAGGAAGCGGTTAGAGTACGAAAGAAGTGTAGGGAGAAACACTAGACTACGTCTCGTGTTTCTCCCCACTTATTCAATTTTTTTGCCTGAGGTCTTTTTAAGTCTCTAAAACAAAATGTAAAAGTGAAATATTTATTGAAACCCAGCCGAATTGTGGCTCATAAAAAACAAGCGAGTTTTTCAACACGGCAATTTGAAAACAAACTGCTCAAGGTGTGTGTTTTTTATTAATGAACGACAGCCAAATTCACAGGAACATGAAGATTGCTCGTGATGACAGCGCCATAAAACTAGCCTATTGTGACTGATGTGGCCTTCCACTCAACGCATCGGAAAGGACATCAGATCAAGCTCTTAGTTCTTCACTTGAAGGGCGGCCGATGTAATTTCTGATGATGATGTGCTAGCCGCAATGGACCTCAGCATGATCGTAGTCGGCCTGACATCGTCATAATTAGTATGAATTTTAACAGTTATGCCAGTTTGGCTACATTTTTTATCATTCCTGTTTTTTTCTGTTTTGTTTTTGAACACGAAACTATATGTACTATACGAGTGTTCGCTGTGTTTGATTTTTATTACCGTACGTAAGCTTGCAATCTAACCTTCATAACTCGGACTGTCCATTTCGTTTTCTCTTTGAGGATTCTTGTCCCTGCTCACGTTATGATAACGTAAATTACGGCGCTTGGCATGTTTACAAACCTTTGTTTGGCCCTTCTTTTGTAACTTGCCGGCTCACTTGTTCCGAAATTTCACTTTCAATTGCCGAAAAAAAGCTTAGTAAAGAGAATTCCCGGAAAAGGTCGGACAAAGCATAATTTGGCAGATGGCGTGACAGCTTTAGCTCTGATAGAGCACGCTCTTTCAACCAAGACGGCGCACGTTATATCCGAACTTTGTTATAATACCAAGTAGACTTAATATCAAAAATCTGATTGTTCGAGAGCATTCAATCAATATACGATAGTGTTCGAAGTTGAATTGATAAATGCAATATCTGCAGCGGATATTGCATTTATCACGTCGAGTTAAAAGTCTGCATAGTTTCCAAGCCCTTCATTTGTGCAGTGTTCATAAACTTTTGCAAACTTAGAGGGAAGTGTCTCCTTCTGTAGATCGTTTAAACAAATGTATAATTATTGCCGCGGAACTCGGTTTTTGCATGATGACATGAATTATCAATCGTCGTGTCGGTGTTCCTCAGACCTCGGCTTTGACAGGTATCTCAGACTTTGGTTTTGATGATTCATGATATCATGCTTAACCTCATCCAATTATTGCTTATCATTAGGAAGACACGTTACAACCGAGTATGAACAAAAGGTAAAGCCAGCCACTAGTCACAGTTACTTTGTTACTTCCCCACCCCCTCCCCCTCCGGAAATAATATGAGGTTTTGTTTCCTTGTTGGGTTTAGATTTTGTTCTCAAACCCTTCAAATTTTTTTTGTGTGAAACTTTGGTCTTTGTGATAATTGGCTCTTTTGAGGATTTAGTTCACAGGCCGCATCGTATTAACCTTATTTCAGAACTTGATTTCAGCGAATTTTCATTCCTGTTTTTGAGTTTTTAAGGTCTGTTTCCCGTTGTGTGACACGCCTTAATGCCTCTTCCTGGATGCATTCATGTCTATGTACCGATCGATGGTCATACATGATAAATGAATATGAAATAATCAAATAATTAGTCTTATTTCTCTTAAACGAGAACTACTAATTTATTAGCACTAAGATTATGACCTTGAAAATTCTATCGCGTGATAGTTGATGAGGGCTAAGCTCGAGTCAACCATCACGCATATAATTCATGGTTTTTTACTTACATCTAATTGGTTGTGGAACGAGTTTTGCAATATCAATCACATACCATTGTAAACAAAAACCACAACATCACTTACTACATTCGAAATTGAATTGAAAATAACTCTGGCAAGAATAAGCGGTAAAAAACTGCTAATTTGGTCTTGGCGTGGCAGCTTCCATTTTTGTTGTTAAAGCCAATTTTATCGCAATTCCTACGTGTCTAAATTGTGAAGCACTCTGAGCATTAATCACACATTTTGTTCAAAGTAGCCGTTATAGAGGTGTAACAACTTATGTATCTGCATTTGCAAAATGAGTAGGTTTTCATTGGAAGTCTGACAAAAAGCGGAGAGAGTTTGAATCGTCGAAGAGTTGCTTCGGATGAATAATATGATAAATCGTGCTTAGTTTGGTAACAAAATCAACTTATTTAAAAAAGTAAATGCAAGAATACCAAACCGACGTCATCTTATGTAAAGTTGAGTTTTTGGCCAATACATCTATATAAATAGTGAAATTTTCACGCAGCAAAGAAATCAGTTTCACCCATAGGCAATTTCTTTTCGTAATATCAATATATTTTTACGTGTGAAAATGGAAAGAACAAAGCCAAAATGTTGATAGAAGAATACTTTCGATTTAACAGCAGATTCTTCATTACTAACATCATCACAGATTTATGGCAGACAATAAGGAGAATAAGTTTTCAGGTCCTAGAAATGTCAGTGTTAACCATCAATCATGCTTCAAAAAATGAAAAAAATTTTAAAGGGGAATCATGAACCCTGATATTAACATTCAAATCACTTTATGATGTTCTACTCATTTGGAGTCTGAGAATAAGAAATTAAGAGCAGTTTATCTTGTCATTATCATCATTGTTCCTTCCTCTTCTATTGGAGGGTAGGAACTAGCATTTGGGTAGGAAAAAAAAATAAAACATTTCGTTCTCACTGATAAACAAATATAAACGAACCGTCAATTTTTTTGTTTAACCTTGAGGAGGAAACCTACCCACTCAAAACGAAACCAAGAGATACCCTTTCTTTGAACTGAGAAATTTCTTCAATTAGAATTTTTAATCCCATCTTCACGTGTGGAAAAAAATCTCGAAAAAATCTCAAAACATGAAATCACCCCCTACCGAGCTCTCTGTGAGGAGTTTGGAGTAACTTTTCTTCTAACAATGTACTCCTTATCGTTTTATATAATTTTCAGTTATTTCCCTCTTTTTTACAACAAGAAACAATTTTCGTCTGCTTCAAAACAGTGGGACAATAAGGTTGTTTCTGATTTCGAAAGATTTCCTGCTAATTTTATAGAATTAAAAGACTTTATCGCAGTTGGTGGTTTGGGCAAAATATTCATCATTACTCTGCGACTCTGGACAGAGCTTGACCGAAAGAGAGAAATCATTGTAAACATATCTTGATCGCAAAACCCACGAATTTTGCATTGATAACCAAGATAAGAAGATTTCAACATTTACTAGAAACAATAATTTTGAGTACCCTTTCTTGTGGACAACAAAGTACCCTTTAAATCATGTCCGCATTTTTTCTTTTACGGCACGATAAATTCGGTACAATGTCCAAAAATTAAGATTTCATTCTTTTGACAGTATTGTTTGGTACACTATTTATGGTGCTTAATGTAAATATCTCTTTGTTTCGATCGATTATTATACGAATGAAATTACGTGTAAAATAGGAACTCGTATACCGATGTATTACTATATTTTTGGATTACAGTGTTACTCTATCCTAAAATTTGTTAACTTTCTCAGCATGCAAACTTGAATCACTTCCTTGGGAGGTTTGAATCAGCCCTCTTTTAGCCAAACATTCCAGTTATGTGGATATGTTACCTATCAGACGAAGCTCAATAAACCGCTTGGAAATGATCATCTCTTTTTGGACAAAGACTCACTTCGAAATCAAGCATTTAAAACTATTTATTTAGAGGTAATTGGTATACAATGAAATCTGCCCTTAGTTTCCTCTTGTTTGCTTTTGCAAAGGAAGAGAAAAAAGTTATGTCTACCTGTTTACGATTTCACAAAACACTCCCTTTCTCTTCAGCTTGTTGAAAATAGCAATAATAAATAAACTCACCGCACTTGTCCATGGTGGAGGCAAAGTTGGAGGTAATCCATCACTTTTGTTTCTTCGGTTCCGAAGATGAGAAGGCCGTTTGGGTGTATGGTTCGGAATCGCAACGTTATTTTAGTTTTTCGAGGATCAGTGTTTTCTCTTATGCCGTAAGTGATATAACTTTTGCCTTCGAGCTGCACTTGAGAGGCAAATGTTATCGGAATTGAAAATTCGAGAGTGAGAAAAAGCAGTAGAGGGCTCCAACCGTATTGCAGACCCATCGCGTACTTGCAAGTTCGACTCTGCGAGGCGCCTAAAAAGAATAGCACAATTGCAGATTACAAGCCGAGTAATTACAAGCGAATAAACTTTAGATGGCCTCCGCGGGCGCTCTGTCGCACTTCAAACATGCCGATTTGCATCAAAGAATGAAACACAACACGAGTGTTCCCCGCAAGAAGAACCAAGCTGTTTCGGTTTCGAAGCTCTAGAGGGCGGAAAATTTGGTCAGAAGGGGATTGGAAATTATGAATCATCCAATGAGATGATAGCGTGTTAATAAACATTAATTGATTTTCTTTCTTTTCACGAGCCAGGTGTTTCATTTGACACTTCCTCGGCGAACTTCGAGGATTCTCAATCCACGAAATCAACGAAAGGAAAACAAGCTTAATAACCTTTCAAAAGCTAGTTGAAATTAACAGAAAACTGGCATTGAATATCGAGGATATTTTAACGTCGCCGAATTAATTCTCGAACAATAGTGACTCAAATTATGTGTTTGTCTCAAAATGTGATACAGTTTCCTGTCCAAGGAAGAATGAATTTTATTATAATCAAGACTGGATTTCTAATTAGGACATACAATTCTAAATAAGACAAATGAGCTTACATAATATATGCGCTCTACTTAGCCGCGCTCTGTCCGCAGCGGCTAACAACAAGATTTGTCGCATAGGGAGGGATCTTTTCAATTTTAATCGCAGTGCGAAGGAATCGAATTCAATTTATGTTATAAAATGTGCGCCATTCAAGGAGCACAACTGGCTCAATGAGGATACAGAATTAGCTTATCATGGATGTCTTGTTTAGGTGCTCTCAGAAAACAAATTCGGAAATATTTTCATCCCCCAGGCTGTTATACACTCGCGTGAAAGTAAAATCTACGAGATAATCCCAGTCACTTCAAATTCTATTATTTTTGCGTCGAGCCGCCCAAATTCGTGAATATTTCATGCAAAAATATATCTTCATTTAATAGGAATACCACTGAATGATTCTCTTAGGATTATTAACGCTTATCTCGCATATCCTTGAAAAGGAAAGAGCTTCAAAATGATGGTATTGATTCATTTACGCTGTTAGCTCGCGTGAAATTTATTAACATGTCGAAACAATTTCGCGGCAAGTAAAAAAGTTGCTTGCCGCTAGGCCGTGAAGCCAACTGAGTATATTTTGATTTCGAGGTTCCACATGTACCTACAAGAGAAGAAAGATTCATCAGAATACTTCTCGGCGTATTTGGTTTTTGAACCGCTGTCAAATAACAACAACAAATGTTAACTGAAATAATTTGCAACTTTTTGAAATTGTGTCGTTTTTGGTGGACACTCGGTTTTGAAGAACATTCTCTTTACAAATATTAACCAGTACCTACCATTGAGCCCAAATTCGGATCTTTTCCAGTGATTCCTTAAATACATTTTTAAATTTCCATTTAATCTTTAAAAAGAAAATTGTGTTTTCGATATTCTCGAAATTTTTATCCAAACCAAAACAGCATCGAAAATATTTGTAAGCAGAATGAAAAGTTGCAGTGGACTACTTTGGTGGAAATTGTGATGTTTTGTTAAAACTTAGACTTAAAGCTTTGAAATTACGACAGTAAATGATAAATCCTTTGGTGGAAATTGTTACACATCACCTCTTTATTCTGAATTTGCATCTTTTCGCCTTTAATAACAATATAAATTTTCTCGTTAAGTATTTTCCAACCTGCCTCGTCGGCGTTTATTTCTGCGATCACTATCTCGGATATCTGCTTAAATTTGTCGTCGCGGACAAGGTCACAAAAGAAAAATGACTAAGTTGTAAATAGGGATATAATCAGAGTATAAAGATTACACTAACACCAAACGATGATGAAATGAAATTGAATCAAAATTCAATTAGTTCGCCGATATCCACATTTTAAAAGTTGATTTTTGATCGCAACACCAAAGGTGCTAAATTTTGGGGGGTAAAACATTTTCCTTTTTCAGTGAGATTCAGTAAACTGGTTAGTATGCAAGTAACCACAGGAGAGACTTTGATTAAATTGTGTTACGTGAATGATATTCTAGAAGAAAAAAGAAAATTTCAACCAAAACTGAAATCACATGGTAACTTTCTTCAAGTTGTATTATACGTAAAACTGGCGCTAACCGCCATAAGAAAAAGAATTGGAGATCAGGCTACAAATTCCTAGAGATTCTTCGTGTTCGCAAACAACAATATGAAAAACCTCCAAAATAATCTATAGATCAGATGATCAAAATGTCTCGGTGAGCGGCCGACACAAATAAGACTCTGAGTTGATAAGAACCCTGTTGATATCGCACGGCTATCAAGGCTGAAATATGTGTTTTACGGGAATTTGGGGAAATTTCTCGTTATCGAAGATTATGGTCTCAAATGGAATTAATGGCGTGAAATTAAGTATTTTCCGTTTTAAAATCGGCAACATACATAACATAGCATTAAATATTACAAAATGAGATTTTTTAAAATCCGCTAGATGTACACGATGCGTATATCGGGCAAATAATTCAACACATTGAGTTCCCTTTTTACTGAAACAAATAATTGCTACGCAAGGGGTGGTGTATCTTAAACCAATCTCCTGGACGGCAAAAATCCATATTAATACTTTATTAATTATTCATTTACTTTTATTCAAGTTTCATTTATCAATTCACTCATTTTCCCCTCCCATCCAAGTGTTCTTCCCATTTTTCATTTTCCTTTTTTGATTTTTTTGCACGCGACGTAAGGTGCCCTGGTATTCAACGTTTTTCATCACAGTAAAGCTTTCCACGATATGGAACCAAGTCAACTCTCTCTAGCGATCAGGTAACAAAGATAACAAAAAAA